TATTCACTCCTGGAGGAGGGAAGAGGGGGGGGGGGAGGGAGGAAAAAGAGCTTGTGTAGCTTGGGGTGGGGGAAGGGACGTTTAGTCTTTGTGAGGGCGAGGGAGGTGGAGGCTGGTGGTTTTTTCTTTCTGGGCGGGGAGAGTTAAAGTAGCCTGGTTCAGGGGCACAATAGCTTAATCTAGTTTGCATTTTCGACCTTAAGAGTGAATTCTTATACATTTGACCAGGAATCGATCACTTAAGTCTCATGGTGTTTTCAGAGACCCTGTATGGAAATTTGAAGCATAAATTTTACAATGATCTGAGCAGGGAAATGTTAACACGAACATTGTTTAAAATAGGCATAGTATACATAAAAATGGTTCATGATATATAATAAATAATAGTTTAGAACAGGTGATACAATCAGGATGCTTGGTGAACCCCTGCCCCCCCCCCCTTCCATTGAAAGTTTTCCCCAAAAAATGAAAACAGAAAAATCCCCAATCAACAACAATATTTTAGCCTTAAAAGATGTAACATGATTTTTCTGTTTTCAATGAACAATTGAAATGGGTGAGCACTTACGTTTCATAAATTTGGACTGCAATACACACAACTGCTGATTAAAGTATTAATTCCCACAGTTTAATAATGTAGTAAGAAGAACATGTAAAAAAGAAGAGGTTTGCATTCCACTCAAGAATCGTCAGTGGTAAAAAATAATTTTAAAAATAAATACAATTTTAAGTGTGCTGATGATAGTGCCCTTCTTTTTATGGACCCAGTAAAAAGGTCAGAGACAATTGGGCTTAAGTGGCGTTGGTTACGCTACCGGACTCGTAATCGTGAGACTGCGGGTTCGGAGGTTCGAACCTCAGCTCAGTCCGATGTTGTGTCCTTGGAAAAGGCACTTTACGCAAATTTCCCCCTTGGCTCGGTCCTTTTGGAGAGAAACGTTAAACTTGGAGGTCCCGCGTCTTAAATAACCAAACAGTGTTGATAGGGGCGTTAAATCTATTCTATTTCATAAGTTTCACCTCGAGGCTTGCAAGCAGTAGGTTACAAATCTAGCCTGCCTTGCACACATTTCGTGCTTGAATCTGAGAAGGGTTCGATTTTATAGTTTTCTCTTTATGTCTCAGATCTTTTTTTTCGCTTGGCGTCCTGACAAAGCACTAAATGGAAGGCCTTCCAAACGATTTATGCTAAGGGTCTCGATCTCAAATCACCTGAGGACCTCTGGAAATAGAGCCTGGGTGACCTTGCGCCACACCAAGTATTCCACAAACATAACTAGGTCTATATTCTTTCTTCAAAACGTACAAGTGGTTTAATATTTTTAATCTTTATTTAATAGTAGTTCAGAAAATGAACGGATTTTTAGAACAAAAGCTTTTCTCACTTACACATGACTGCAAGAGACCTGGCATCGCTTCCTTTTACCTAATTCAGCCACATAATTTGGCGTGTAAGAAAAATATGCACACGTTGAAGCCAAAATATTGCCCAACGGTCTTCAATTTCTAAACTTTTGTGCCTAATGAGAATTTGAACTAGTCAAAGCACCTTTTGGAATCAAAGAAGTATGCCCGAGGAGGGTGGGGGGAGGGGGGGGTCAGAGGGTTACGTTCCCCTCTTGGTGTCATTAACTTGTGTTTTTTGTTTATTCTTTTCATTCAACAACACGTTCGTCTTTGTGTAATTGTTTATATTTCTATGTTTGGTTGCTCTCTACCAAATAGCTACTCATGATATCAGTTGGAGATTCTTCGATTTCTTGACTTCTTTCGACGCACGTGTTCATCGGTTGCAAACTTTTTGCACGTGACTTGGTAAGACACTTTTCTATTTCATAACGAACTACTCTGATCTGAGTTGAGATTGCGGGTTCGATCGATGATAGTTCGCTTCCTAAAGAAAGGTCTACTTTGGTATGTTGTGTTTTGTTTTGTTTGTTTGTTGTTCGTTTGTTGTTTGTTTGTTGTTTGTTTGTTGTTGTTATTTGCATTTAAGATAGTTTTGTAGTTTGGGCTGATTATGTTTGTTTCCCTTTTTTCAAGTCATCAGTTTTAGTGTACATGTTAGGTTTCAACTTGTTATTATTCCCTGACTGACAGATAGTTTTAACCTCCGTTTGTGAGCCCCGGTAACTCGTGGCATGTGAAGTTTTAATCTCCGTTTGCGAGTTCCTGTAACTTTTGCCATCTGGGTTCTGCTTGGATTTGGACGCAGAGTGCTGTATCTGGGAAGAGGGGGTGTTTTGGGTCGGTACCAGGTAGCCGTCCCCATCTGTTATGTCCAGAATTTCGATGTAGTTTTCTTCCAATTCTGACCTAACCTGGCGCTGGGATGTGTTGGGCTGTTCTGTGTAGGAAGATAGATAAGTATAAAGAACGCACAAGTGGGGAAAACAGACGATCTCTCTCTCTCTCTCTCTCTCTGTCTCTCTGTCTCTCTGTCTCTCTCTCTCTCTCTCTCTGTCTCTCTCTGTCTCTCTCTCTCTCTTCTGTCTGCCTCTCTTTTTCTTTACCCTATTTAATTGATAGTGTACTTGTACACGGTTTGGGATGTATCTGAATGGATATGGTGAAAAAGACACGGGTGTGGGTTGAACATCATACCCCTTTCTATGATATGTCGTGATGTATTATTTTACAATAACAATGAAAAAATATGTAATTATAGCATGCCCAAAGGACTTATTTAAACGTAGCTTGTCTTTGAATATTATCTTTTTAAGTATAATGAAAAGACGGGTTAGGGGGTGTACTGGTGAGATTTTTGGCCCTAAATCGGGCCAAGGTTTTTTAAATTTTATTTTCAGGGACATCAAGCAATAATTACATTCGATCATTTTCCACTTGAGAGGTCATGTTCTCTAAAATGAGTTTTTCTTGGACAGCATGTCACAAAAATTCTGAAGTCTCGAGTACTTTATTTTAATGAAAGTGTTTCTTATGGTTCCATCAACACAACTTAGATCTTTTAGGTGGCGGATTTCCAACCCTACCTGTCAGTGACAACCTGGGCTGAAAGCGATACAACATCCCTGACGTACCTATTTTGTGTAGATAAGGGCGTAAAATAAACGTACAGTCTATTATGAGTTGGCATGCTCTCTGGTGTGGATTTCTACTTCTTCGCTATCAAACATATTTCGTCATTATCTCGACTCCTTTTCTTTGTATGTTACTCTGTATCAACACCCTTAATCTTTGGCACTTACATGACCTAACAGCGTGGAAAATACCGTAAAACTCTTATTAAAACTAAAAAGAAATTATTTCATCCTGAAGTGAAGTCTGGTCTTACCTCCCCGAGTACAGAGTGACTTGTAGTTGTGGCTATCCCGTACATCCATTTCATGGTTCACCGTGTCATAGAGAGCTTCAGGACTCTGCTTTTGGCGGTTTTTCTTGAGACGTACACATGCCATGATACAAAAGCATATTATGGCAAGCGCCAAGAGGAAACCCGTCACTGCATTGCTGATGATCAAGATTAAATTTTCTTCGTTGCTTGAAACAGTCCCTGAAGCAGATGAGTTGGGGGAAGGGGGGGGTCCAGAAAAAGAAATGTTTTCTTTAATGAATAATGAAAGCAGACAATTATAACCTTAAACATACGTATTACATTCGATCATTTTCCACTTGAGAGGTCATGTTCTCTAAAATGAGTTTTTCTTGGACAGCATGTCACAAAAATTCTAAAGTCTCGAGAACTTTATTTTAATGAAGGTGTTTCTTATGGTTCCATCAACACAACTTAGATCTTTTAGGTGGCGGATTTCCAACCCTACCTGTCAGTGACAACCTGGGCTGAAAGCGTACAGAACATACAGAACTGTATGAATGCAATTACTTAAAGTAACAAGTCTGAAATGAGATTCACGAATACTATATTTAAATGTATCTGAGATATTTTAATTCAAGAGATTATGCCGGCGTCTATACTGCAACAGTTAGGCTCTCATTCCGGCGATGCAGGCAGAAGACGATAGTTCGATTCCACTCATGGAAAAGTCTGTATTATCAAGTGTCTCTGCCTTTCTTTTAGATATTGTAATCTTCCAAGCCTTGGATGACGTATATACACACACAGGGCCAAATAGCGGGCCCCTCAACTGATTTGGGCTGTGTACATTTTTTCGGGGGAAGGGGGAGGATACACATAAACGTTTTCAAATCCAATAAAAAAAAACACCAAGATAGCAACTAAGTTACAGCTAGTTGGTGGTATGCTTTGGTGTCAATATCTATAAAAGCTCAAAATTTGAACATTTCAGAAAGCACAACTTTTTGATCATGCACCTGCAACAAAAGACTATTATAAAACAGCCAGCATCACAACAGCAAAAAAATCTTGAGTAAAGTACCTAGTATTTCATACATTATTATCATATTCAGTTTTTCCCTGCATATCTAAACTTGTAACTATAAAACCCTCTCGCACAACCTTACTCGTTGGAGCTTTCACAAACTTCCTGCTGTATGTCCCGTGTTGTTGGCCGTCAATGACATCAGGATATATCATGACTCTGGGAAGAGGAAGAAACAATGATCATTCATTCCCTTGCTTGTATATATTTGCCGAGGTTTATGATGATGATGATGATGATGATGATGATGATGATGATGATGATGATGATGAT